GACGAGTAGGATTAATACGCTTGGCAGGAGGGGAGGGATTCCGCGCCCCCTAGCGACTTTTTCAAGGCCTGTCCTTATAAGGCCCTACCAAGGCAACTACCGACCTGGACGCCCACCACGCCAGCCCGCCCACAAATGGAAGACCGTCCTGATGCTCGTATTGCTTCATTTGCGAAGTAAGATGAAGCGAAGGGATTGACATGAAGCGGCCGCGGCGCCGATATATGAGTGCATACGTGCAGCCGTACCTACCGTAGCGGTTATTGGCAAGATGCCTACGGGAAACTCGTCCGAAATTGCTTTCTGAGTCACAAGAACGAAGGCTTTTCTTCGCAGGTTTTTCTCTTCGTCTTTCGCTATTTTCCCCACTATATGGCACCCCGCAAGCATTTAAGGCCTGACCATAAGTACCAAACTATCAGCAGCATGCCTTCAATATTTTGCACATCGTTAAGGGAACCCTGTGATTTGGTCGAGTAACGGAAATTCGCCGTTCGCAATAATAAGCACTTCCCAGCTCACATTATTTGAATTTCAAATTGAGTGTGATGTTCTGAATGGCACGTACAAAAGCACATCCAATATTCTGGGAACACGTAGTCCTTTAGTAATCCCATCAATGCAACAACTCACCGTCATCGCTGATGCTGTTACTGCCCGAGCTGCAGGAGTCGTGTAGGTCAGAATCTGGTGCTTCACTGTTTTCAACTATAAAAGGTGATTCTAACGGCATTCGTGATAATAAGAACGAGTTGGTGAACCTTCAAGGCAAGAACTTGGTTTTCTCGCTCTAGTTCTTCGTACTTTTCTCTGGCCACGTAGGCATCTTCTTTTGCTTTTCGTTCCATAACGGACGATCGCAATCTCGTATTGAGTCTGAACTGCAATTCTAAGCCTCCATAAAGAAACTACTGGTTTAAAAAAGTTACACTGTGATTTTCTTCTCCTGTTCATTGATCTTTCTTCTGAGCCGTTTGTAGCTGTTGATAAGCCGAGTGGAAGTTCTCCTCTAACTGCACACGACTCCATGTCTCGATCGGAGGTCGGACCACCATCTCTTTCGAGCTCGAGTCCCACCTCTAGTCTAGAAAAAAAAAACGGTCGTAGGTTCACAACCGTCCAAAATAGGGACAATGGAACGGAAATAGAGAAAGAAAGGAAGGAACGCCGAAAAGAGAGTTATAGTCTCGATAGAGGGAGACAGTACTCTGGGAATGACTGGGTAGGCTGTTTGGACTGAAGACACTACGAGCATTTTATTCTATATTACTCAGGAGAATTCCCGTTAGAACTCTTCAGTTTAGATATCGGCTTCTGGCGATCCTTCTCAAGAGGGCAGGAAGAACAATCACGAATAGACCGTGTATTGACCGTTGTACGTTAATAATTCAGTTTTGAATTGAACATGTACATTAGTTTGAATCGAAAATGTTCCAAAACTGCTCAAAAGGCGGCCATTGCATTTTAGCAAGGAATGAATATTCTGGAGGACGGCAACAAAAAAATCAATATTGTCATGGGTTTTCCCGTGTCACTAGAATATACTAAGCTTTTGAATAAAATGAAAGCGAGGGAGCAATTGGCTAGAGGAGGTCAGTCGTCCACTGTGTGTTACCCTTGGCAACGCTGCTGTGCCAACGCCGGTGAGCTTGATTTCAACGAACCTCTCCAATCAGCTGTTCATGGGAATTACAGCCATCTGTGGCCTGAAAGAGCTCGGTAGTCGATCCACTTAGTTGAGAAAAAAACAAGCCCCTGATCTATGGTGTAATTTTTCACATACTTACAACTAGCTGATGAATTGAGTCTAGTTTGTGCTTTTTCGTCTTCCGTTTCATTTATTTGCTCTCATTCATTTAGTTGCTTATTCATATGAAGGTTATGATTAGAAAATGTTGCAATTATACTAAACATGACCATTTTTGCAACGGTGCTTCTAATGGCGGAAACCGGAACCACATAGTCTCCAGCTGAAGCTCTTTCCTGGAGATAAAATCTCAGCGCTGGTGTTAAACCTGATAATTTCTTGTGGCAAGACGGCTCTCTGGTGGAACTTTCACTCCAGTAAATCACATAGGCACCAAAAGACTACTGGTTCTCAAATCTCCAAACCTTTTCTGCACCAAGACGTTACGGGTACGGCTCGAATATGGTTCAAGCTATCCAAGAATGGACTTCCGGCCTCGAAATATGTATGCATCGAGCCGTCGCTCTATCGCTATCTTAACGGAGAGGTCGTATCTGGCTCGCCAAAATAAGGGGAGGGATCGTATCCAGGGGTGTTAGTATTCAACAAAATTATGGCGAGGTGAATGCGAGGCAGAAAAAGAGGTCAAAAGTACAGCCGGTGAAGTTCAATATGGGCGCCGATTTCAGCGAAATCACTTGTTACACTTCCAGATTAAATTAAAACTGTAATCTGATTGTGATGAAATTGAAAAAGAGTGTTTCGCAGATTCCAAAGGATGAAAGGAGAAGGTGTCGTATTGATACCAACTTTGAGTGGGGGAAGGTTGAACCAACGGTAAGTTTTCTTCAACGTGATGCTTGACCCTGATCTGGATAGGTATGCATTCACTAACGATAAGTTTGTGAACTTCTGCCATCGAGTAGAGGTAACGCTCATTGGTGTTTTGGAAGCGCTCCTTGAGCCTTCCCAAATCCTTCTTTTTCGACGTACTACATCTGCATGAAAACGCTGGCCAGCTCAGTCGCTCCAAATGGAACTTAACACAATTCCCCACGGTGTGATGCATGTCTGCGAGGTCATAACTTAGAATCGGAAATGGTACTTTTTATTGGTTTAAGGCAGTTACTGCGGCCATTTGATGTGCGGACGCCGTCCTGAGAGAACCGATCCTTTCCGCAAGCAAAGAGGATGTACCACATCCGCAGCTCAAGGATAATAACACTACCAGGCCGCAAGAGGGCACTGTCCCGCCCACTTCCCCATATCCCACCCTACGATCATTCTTAACGGCTGCCTGGTGGCGTGGTTGTTACATTACTCACTCTTTCCATTCCGAATAGTAATAGTGAATTCATAAGGGAAAAGAGCTGAAAAAGAGTTGATTCCAAGAAGTAAGAACGCGTCCAAGCACAAGTTTTTTTTTTCGGGGAAATAAAGGACTGCTGCTGCCCAAAGTGCAAAAAATATGACAAGGTGAGCTTCTTCGGAGGGTAGACCTCTAGTGTGTGTGAGCCAGTTACCATGCGTGAAATAGCTGGAATGCTCATGTTCACAGTGCTCATACGATGAATAGTCAATGCAGATGATTAGAAAGGCAGAGGCAAAATGTTTCGCCTCTATACATACTCGTACAAGCTCGGTTCGGCACGAGGTCCACCAGGGCATTTCCAACGGTTAACTTTTCCTTTCCCTTTCACTGTTTAATTGCTCACCCCTCGCCATTAGTATGTGAACCCCAGTGCCCACCATTTCTGATCGCGGACTATGCCCTACGCAACGGAAATGGAGTCGCCATGAGAAGGACCTCATTTCCCTATGCACTTCGTCGATGAAGTCATGTTTTTTGAGTTCATCGATTACACGCGAAAAAGAAAGTGTCGAATGCCCCCTGCCCCCTCTGTTGACCCAATTTGATCATCTGTGGATTTTCAGGTTTCACCTGCAGAAGAAACAAACGTGCAGTCTTGAAAAGCGTGAAGTTGTCTATTAAATGTTATGAATGCATTAGGAGAACTATTCATTTTCACACGAAATTTTGAGTCAGCAAAAAGAATGCCATTTTTGATGAGCCTGATCAAATTTCAAAAGAGCTAAGCTCCAACTGCACCATGACAAGCGGAGTCGCGCCAGCGCAGGTCAACCACTTTGAGTCTTATCTCACAGTATAGCATATAGCACCCCTCCCTAACAATTTTTTCGCCGTAAACCAGTACAAGGTTGTTCCTTGCGGACCACTACCCTCGCGACACCATATTTCCAACTTTATTCCTGATCGTGGACCAAGCCTTTGATGTTTCCCATTAAATACGAAAATATATGCCTCGAATGAAGCTGTCACGCCAACACCATCAAAATGAATGCTTTCACTGAAGTTAAAATAAAACCCCTGAAAAGTCGCACATAGGCCCTAATAAGAAGCAGGGAGGGGTCTTGGTGGTCGGACAGGTACGCAAAACTACTTCCCAAGTGTTTAGCATGCGTTTCAAGAAAAAGCAAAACTACGAAATGCATCAAGGATTTGAACCTCCGTCTCACTTACTATGAAGCTGATCCACCTTACCTCTGCCCCGCCATTGAGCCACGGCGGCAGCTGGGTCACGAGGGGTTTACGAGCGCAAAGCATGGGCAGGGGGTCGCACCGCAATGGTTAAGCACGGTAGCAAAAAAGGTCCGTAACTCTCCACCCAGAATCGTTTAGCAGATTTGGAAGTCAGATCTGATATCAGCGTCCGAAGACGCTTCTAGGAGTATACATCTCATTCTGAATGGCCAGGACGAGTTGGTATCCTTCCCTTGTCAGTGGAGGTCTCAGGCTGGGCGGTTATCTCTCCAATATAAGGTACGAAAGATAAAATGTAAACCAATATGCGAAGCGCACAATCGCAAGTCTATCCCCACCCACATCCCTTCCTATGCAACCACCATGGGCTTTCAAATGAGCTAAATCTGAGGCGGAGTTAGCTATCAGCGAGGCCCTCTGCAATAAAAGCTTATATAGTCTATGGTACCACCATAGCCGATGAGGCTGTGCTATATTATGATTTATTTTCCGTCTCTTGTTCCCTTTGAAAATTAAGTATTGCATACACACACGAGAAAGATTTCACTCAGCCGTATGCATGATTAGTGCTGGCATGGCGAAAATAATGACCAAGCTTCATATCAGTTTCACTGCTGTTCTACAAACCTTTCTGCTTTCCATTCAGCCAGAAAATCACTGGAATTCTTGACCGTGAAGGTGCTCCTGTTCAAAAATACCTTTGGTCCATTTTTTTAATATTACAGTAACTGCGGTTTTCGCCGCTCTTCTCTCGCGGTCCATTCCTTATGATGACATACGCTATGCATCTGATTACTCTTCACAACTGACCGATTGTTGGATACAGTCTCTCTCGCTACGGATCTATTGCGTCTCAAGGGCTAGGTTTGCGCCAGCACGTTCTCAACCTCGACCTCGCGGCATCCATAGCGAACAAGACTGTTAGTATTCTTTCTGTACCTTGAACTGCGAGGGGCTGCCGGCGTAAAAGCCAGTGTTTTTGTCCTCACAGAGGAATCTACTAGTACCATTCAACCGACCACAGACCATGGTGAGCTTGGATAACCTGTCCAGTTTTTATAAAGTCGCGTGCGAGAAAAACTCCATTCGTTCGCATTTGCGAACCCTGAGCCCCATTAGTAGGAAGGTTCGAAGTCCATTAGATTACCGCGCTTCGCATTAGAGGGCCCACCAGTAGGAAGAAGAACCCATTCTCATGTGCTTTCTAACCTTCTGGAAAAGAAACATTGGAATAATATTTGAACAGTCAGGTTCGACAACCAATAGCTCCCAGTAGCTCGAGCGAACTGGTGCTCTCGCCGAGCGACCACTTGCGAGGGTGGGAAAGAACAGACTCACCAAAGCACAAGTCCTGAGCCAAATAAACAGCATCGGACACTGAGCCCATTGTAGGCTGCTGCCCGCAAGATCAATGAGTAGACCACATTCAGTCTTGTACGCTGCGCATGCTGGGGTCGATCATGAGATCTGGGACTGGCTCAGCGTCGAG